AAATATATATATATATATAGAGAGAGAGAGAGAGAGAGAGAGAGTAATGAAACCAGAATATTATACCTACAGCAAAAAAAAAAAGTCATTATGCAGTCTACTGGCTGTATAGCTTAATGTAATTCTCTTGTTAATCCACTACATTTACAGCACAGTATAAAGAGCAACATACCTGCCTATGTTGGTGCATAATTCAGTACTGTCTGTGAACTGCCTATGTATACAATAATTTAATGGAGATTTATAAAACAGAACATATAAAAGTGACTGGCTTTATTTCAGGTATCATGGATCAATTCACACGGTAAGTTTAATCATTCCAATAGATCAAATATTAGTTTTATAGAATGCTGCAACAAAGAACGTGCAAGGGTTTTTTGTATGCATCTTCAGCAACCTTGTAATATGAAATACATTTAGACATGGAGCATATTTCACTGCTCCATAGCTAAATTGGATCCATCTTTTCCTCCTATGGAACAAGAAGGACAATCCATTTAGATGAGGATTTATGCAGAACGTGGCTGGAAAGTAAGGAGTTAAATGGAGCCACTGCTCCCGCCCATTTCTTTTGCTTAAATCCACAGTCACTCATTGCTGTGTTGAATTAAAAAAGAGCTGAGGGAAAATACAAATAACGGCATGCCAATGTTGCATTGGTAAGGAACTCAAAGAAAAAATGTACAAGCACTTCAGAAGCATTCAGAGGAAAGTGTAAGCTAGGTCCAAAGGTGTTCTGTTTGGGTCCTGAAATATAAATCAGCTGCCCTGTACTATATTGTTACTGCTGAGAAGTAGTACAGCACCCAGTGGCAAATAGCTAGCAGTCTGGGGCATAACAGGCAGGGAATTTGGGCTAGCTGAAGCTATCTGACCCACTTGTACCCATGTCAACTTGCTGCGACAGCAGGGGAGAAAAGAGACAACAGTGTCTGGCACCAGCAGCTAAACTGAATGGCAGAGATACATTTTTGCAGAACTTGGCAGATGACTGCTTATTTTCATTTCCCCCAGAGCTGCCACAGGGCAATCTGTTCCTGCTACCACAGTGCACCTGCTCAGGAATAAAAAATACATATATGTATGCATGAAGAAAAGGAAAGAGTTTGCCTTTCCTAAATGCTTAATTCTCTGAGTTATTTTGTATTTCCTGTAGCATGCCAAATTCTTAGGTTACATGATGTGCTTAGCGCTGTCGTGTGACTTTCTAGAGCGATCCGTGTAGAAATTATTTACTGCTTTCAAGTCAGCCCATTTGAATCTGGACCATATTGCCGCAGAGGCCTGATAATTTATACAAATGGTGTCGCATTTTTCCAGGAGACCCCATTCCTTAACTAAAGGCATTGCCATGCTGAAACACAAGGCTTTAATCTTCAACCACACTGAGTTTGGGCTTCAGTCACATCTGATGGGATAAAGCAGGTTCTCAACAGCTGAATGATTTCTATATGTGAATGATAGCAATGTCCTTCCAAGTGTTTATTTCTCTTCTGAAGGTATAAAAGAAGAGACATCTTACTGTAAAATTTATGGGATTAGTAATAGGCACAATGAGTCCTGAATCAGAAAATACTCTAGTCTGAGAAGCTTCTTTCCCCAATGCAATGCGATGATAAACTTTCTTGATCTTATTTCTTTCTTACTCTAAATCCTACTGGATTACAGCTGGGCAGGATCACTGGCAGACATGGATTACTCAACTTTCAAATCTCAATTTTTTATCTAGCAATACTTTCAGAGATCTCTGGCCACTTAACCTTTGAAATCCTTAGCACATGTGCAGAGACTAAACATAATTCTGCTTGGAGCAGAAGATAAGCAAAGAATGGATCAGGAAATACCAAGGTCGCCCTGTGATTTTTAAAAAATAGGCAAAGTTTGACAATTTGAGATTCTAGTGGTGATTCAGGCATACAAAAAACCCCTTTTCCTTCTCACTAAATTGTTAGCTGTATTTAGCAGAGATGAGGTATGTGCATATTATGGAAACTCTTACGACAAAAATACAATAGATGTAATTGTGTTCAAAAGTGCATAAATAAATAAATGCATAAAGCTCTCACTGTGCTGACTTTTACACAAAGGATCACAAATCAATGCAAAACCAAGTCAAAATAAAATTAATTTTTTAAAAAATGAGAAATTGAAACAGATAGATTTGCCTTTCCCTGTCGTATTCAAGGTTTGTTTTGTTTTAAGTTGGAGTTCCTGCAACAGAGTGACACCTAGTGGAATTGGAAATTAGCTGCTTGCTTATTTATTTATTTATTTATTTGTTTGTTTGTTTGTTTGTTTGATTTCTATAGCCGCCTATCTCAACAAGTGACCTAAATTCTCCTGGATATCTAGCTAGCTAGCTAGCTATGCTTTGCATTGGAATACATTAGCTTTGACCTGAAAAGCAAAGCCATGTTTACTAGAACAATTTTTCACAATTACTCAGCTTCAAAAAATGAGCTTGAGTAATGGAGCAACTGTTCTAAAGAGAAATGAACACTTTGCAAGAGAGAGCACCACCCACTCACAAATAGGCATTTCAGAAAAATTGTAATATTACTGCTACACTAAAAACAGCTTTATGCCATTTCTGTTTTAAAAAACATGTAAACATACAGCTTACTTGGAGAACTCCTCCAATCATCTCCCCTAGCACTTTGATACACCTGAATTTTCAACTGTAGCGCTTTCCAAGCATAACAATGGTTTGGAATAGACTGCAACTTCACAGTGGTTATATTTGTGTCTCAACTCTTTCATCCAGTGACATGGGTCTGAGACAACATATGCAGTAATCTTTGGTTTCTTTTGACCATGATGTTACTGAATGAGCCATATGGCTTGGTTCATAGATAATGTTAAGCAATAATGGGTTGATTCACCAAAACCAAATCGCATTATGACTTAGTGTTAAGTGTAAGCCAGGCCACTGCTTTCCATGTACTAAATTTGTACTAATTACTTCTGGGCAATTTGCTTTCATCAGGAGAATTTAGAGCAGAACATCTGAGCAACATTCTGTGCCATCAATACATGCCTGAGGTCAACTGCGCAATCTTAGCTTCCTGTATTCTGTCCAAATGACAATTATATGGAAAAATATCCCCACCCAAATGATTCTGGCATACATATTCTTGCCATATCAATATGTGATCTCACCATTAAGCAGTTCTCACATGGCTATTTTTAAAAAGCCATAAAAGCATCCATTAATTGGAACTGTAATATGAAATATACAAGATTTGCACAATGATGCTAGAGAAAATTACTATAGAGAGCAAATATCCCTACATGTAAGAAATTGGAATGGGAGTGATATTTTCTTTGTGTGTGTGTGTCTGTATGACTGTGTGTGAGTGTATGTATACACACACACACACACACACACACACTTTAAAGGTTTAATTCATATTTATGCAGATTATAATCTAATTTATCCATGGGGGAGAATTCTGGTTACAGTCGGCTAAAATTTCTTTTGCTTGGATGCCAAAGATAATAATAGAAGCTCTGCAGACACACAGTACTTCATTTCAGCATATTTCAATAGGGCTTGTAATGGAGAGTTGCCTGGCATCTAATTAACCTCCACTAGCATAGTGCTAGACAAGAACTGAATAGATTATTTATGCATATCAAGTATGAGATCATGGAAGCCAAGGATCAACATTAGAAGGAAAAATAACATCCAGTGGAAAATGTTCATGCTGAGTATATTCAGGTGCCTGAAACTTGTATAAATGAAATTCTTATGTTTAAATATATTTTAGAAGCCTGTATTTTAGCTTCATGAATATTGCCTCTATAAAAAGCAATTTAACTTAGTGTATGTTTTGGCCATTAATGGCACTCAATAGAAAAGCAAAAAAGAGCTGCCAAGACCACCCAGAGTTTTTATAATTTGGTGGCATATAAATACTGGAAATAAATAAACAAGACAATCTTCCCCTCTTAACCCCTGCCCCTTGAGTTCTTACTGTTAAAATAGTTGGGGTCACAAAAGCCCAACAGATTCTCCAGAATTTATTTGGCTGGAATCCAATCATCATTTGAATGTCTTCACAAAATCTTTGCAAGCCTGTAAAATAAACACACGTAAGTCCAAATGCAAAAGAGACTGAGCTACAACTAACAAATATCTCTTGTGATCCCCTTTGTGTCTAATTATAGAAACACGCACACCGATTTGTCAGTCTAGCTCTTCAAGACATATATTAACCATATGGATAATATGGATTTCTCATATGGGAAACCATACTACCGTATTTTTCCGACTATAAGACGATACTTTTTTCTAAAATCCTTACCCTAAAAACT